TAAATGGGAAGCATCAATTTAGAGTTCTGAACAATAAGAAGAACATAACTGCATCATCTTTTATAATGAAACATCCCCAAGTTTTGTGCAGCTGGATGCCAGTAACACTGTGATGCATGTAATTGGTCTGGGCACTTGGAGGCTTAAGATGTCACAGCATCTTAGATCATTATCTCCCAGCATCACTGATAATTGTGAAATTTTCGAGTTATTTGTCATAATAATGTTGGATAAACATGTCAAACAACTAGTGAAATCCTGATTTTTTCCCCCGCCCGCAAGCTTGATAAAACTGCTGACATCAAACGATTCCTCCAATCAGTCGCAGGTTTCTTTGCATCCATTTATATATTGCAAGTGCAGACAGTTTGCTGTTTGGTTTTGTCTTCTGTCACCATCATCATTTTCTCTAATTGTTTTCAAAGGTAGCAGCTGGTGTTATGTGCACATATTAGAACAGAAAAGTAGGTTCTGACTAGTTTCCTCATTTTTGGCTGTCCCCGGCTGCCTCGTTTCCACTCATTCTCCCAGACTGAAGCAGTGGAGTGTGAACAGTCAAATAGCTAGTCAGAATTCAGTTTAGGATGCACACACAGAACAGTGTTAGGGCAACAGGGAGTGAAGACACAAGCATTTTGAAACAACTTGTCTTTCCTGTCCTGATTGATGTACATTTATGCGCACTGCCATGTAGGTAAATGTCAAGAAAGAAAGCAGCACACATGTTGGTTGAGAAACTTGGGTAAGAAAGCAGAAAGAAATAAAGACAGAAAAGTGACGGGTCAAAAAATTATCCCACTGGCATCATAAATAAAGCATGGTAGCATTACGAAGGCACAAGAGTTGGGGTGGGAATGATGAGAAAAACAGCGAGAGGAGACAGAGAGACTAGGCGGCATCATTTCTCTGAAACAGACTACTGATGTCATTTACCCTGCATCAATATTTCACCGCCTAGATAGAAGGAGGAGGGGAGCGGGTGGTGAGGGGAGGTGCGGAGAGATAACAGAGATACGACAATGGGAGGAGGGCTTTTGGAGAAGTCACAGAGCTGGACAAAGAGTGTGAAATGGAGGTGCGAAGATAAAACTGTAGCCAGAAACGACAAGTGGAAGAAGTGTGAGAGAGAGGAGCTGTTGCAAGGGGAGAAGTAATAAACTGATCTCTCTTCTGCCATGGGGGCGTAATGCAGAAGTAATAGGAGAGGGAACAACAATTGGCTAAATTTGTTTGTCCACATTCCTGCTCGGCCCCGCAGAGCCTCGGCAGACTGAGAGCAGCGCTGCGATCAGCAAAGCCCTCTGCCATGTGCATGTATACACTGTTGAATGTTAATAACTCCTGATGACAGGGAAAACAAGCCTGCGGGCCTAGTTAAATGCTCACACTTGTGTGTGTGTGCAACAGGGGTTCATAACTAATTGGTTCACTGCAAGACAATAATGACCAACATGCTTCTAGGCTCACTTAACACATCCAAAACTTCACTGCACTAATAATGCACCATCTGTCTCTCCACTGACCATGCAGTATGCTCCTCATGGGTGCACTCAACAAATCATTGGACTTTATTAAGTTACATCAGGCAGTGGCAGATGAGGACCATTGGAAGCTTGACTGGTCTTCACGAGAAATTAAACACTTAAAAGTATAGGCAGGACATACATTTTTTACATAATATGGGACCACTAAAAACATTCCTGCACTAATTCGTCCCCCGAGGGTATAATAATACCCAACTTGGTTTTATATATTGTGCAATAGATCTGGCTTGCCAGATGGCCAAACAGTTTCACATAAGCCACAGATTTTTATGTATTTTCAGAAACTGAAGTGTTATTGCTGAAACCAAGGGGACTTGTGTGGCTTTTTCTTTACAAAGACCACAAATGATATGTTGCGTGTGCTTCACTGCAAAACCAATAAATGACCACTGAATAACACAGAGGTGGGCAGATTCATCCAAATATCGCTACAATCAAAACCAACGCTTGTATTGGTATTGGATTGATACTGACATGATGAGTTCCATCCTCTAAATTCAGTATGCAGCCTACTGAACTGTGTTAACTGTATTTATTTTTGGGGGGAATGAAAAACATACCTCAAACATAGAGTATGAAAAACTTCTGAACCTTTTTGTGTTGACTGTCACGTCTATTTGATTTTTTAGCCTATAAAACGCTTTAACAGCTCAAGTTGACCCATAGTGCTTTAGAGACAGGCACATTTACATTCCATTTCTCCAAAAAAACCTAGTTTATTGCATTAACTAATTATTGTGGCAAAAAAAGTCACTGTGGTTTGTGTTTACAATCTGCTAATTGATAAACATCGATCTCATAAATCATGAAACACCCTTCAACCATGTTATGAATGAACAAGTAAATAAACAAGTAAATAACTATGCTAGGGAGTGTTAAGGAAATCTGTTTACATTTTTGTGTCAAACAATGTGACAAATATGGCTAGTGGTTTTGGTTTGCCACAGTATTTTTTAGCATATTCTCGCATTAATTGGATTATATTTTCACACAAATGAATCAATGTCTGTTTCTATGGTATGTAGCTGTTCAGTTATGTGCCACTTGATTAGATATCAAAGAAATTATAATCTAACTATCTGCTGTTGGTGTTTGTTGAAAGATGCCTAAAAATCTTTGGAATTTTTTTTTTTTTTTAAATAAAAATCATGCTGTGACAAATCAATAAAGAGATTTAAATTTCCTTACAATTAGAATAAGTGTGTAGCAGTGATGACTATTGGAGGTTTTTCCTGTTTTGTGGTACTTAATGCAATCGATAGGATTTTTTAAACATTCAGAGAGCAGGCATGATGCGCTGCTGCGTAACTGATGCCTCAAAGACAAACGGCGCGTACAATGAGCAACACTTCTTCTGTAAATGTGCGAAACAGGCCACATTTCACTTTGATTAATCTGTTCCATTACTACACTTGAAGAAATTATTTTGGTAATTCACCTCAAACTAAAACTCCTCCTGTGCGTTACAGTTTCTGTGGTCTTTTGCCACCATGCAGCTCCACACAAATATTGTCATGGTGTCATGCCTTGGGGTTCAAATTTTTTGCCATCAAATGAAAAAAAGAAAAAGAAAAAAAACACTCCCAGCATGCCTCCTCTGTTACTAATTTCACACTTTTTGTTAAGTTCCTCAAGGCAAGTCTGACTTCTGCTGTGTTACTGCACAGCATGGATGTGTTAAGGAACCAAAATGTTGCATTTCGGGACAGCATTTGTGGTACTTCATAGCCAAGAGAAATCATTTCATAACAGAGCTGTATTTAAAAAAGTTTTTTGAAAGTTTTTTAGAAAGTTAAAAACCAAAAATATTTAACACTGGATATTGTGCTAAAAAGCCCTTCGAGAGCCAGTGGATGAACTTGATGGGGAAAGTGAATAATTTAAAAGCACAATGCTGCCAGTGGGTTTCCTTACTTATCAACAAAACTGTTCACAGTGTAATTCATCAGCTGTACACCACGGCTATGCACATGGCCCCTGAAGCGATAGATGAAAAATGATGTGACACTGTTCTGTGCTTTTCAGTGATTGAAAATGTGTACACACTTCAATAATTGTCACTGACATGTGAAACTAATGTGGCCCTTTTAGTGCCTCAAGTCTAAATCATTAACAGTGCTAATAGAGTCATACGGACACAATAATAATGACTGAGAATCAGAAGCACAGGACGCTCTTACTCCTAAACCATCACATACAGTTGTTTGGTCAGGACTTTTACTTTTGAGTTTCCTTTAGGGTCATTTGTCTACTGCACTTCAGTAGAACCCCCTTAATATCTGAAATGCCAAATACTCTCTGCTGACATGGTCTCTGTCTCATGATCAAACACCACTGTAACCAAGCATGAAGGGACGTTTGCCTATGTTCCCCTCTTGTCAACCCAAAACCAAAGCCTAAACCCCCTCAAAACATACATTTTTTGTCTTAATCCAGCTGGCCAGTCTCTAAAGACCAGTTTTTGAAAATGTGCTTAAAAAGGTTTCATTTTGGTTCAGAAGTGAAAAGTAACACTTCATTTTAATTTCACCTGTTTGGTTATCCACTGAACTCATTTCTGTTGAGTTTTAAAAGTTACCGAGGCCTGAGGAGTTAGAGTTGCTTAAAAAGAAAAAAAAAAAAAGAAGACATTTTTGATCACATCCCTTTCACACATTATTTGGTCCACGAACACCGACTAATATTGTCGGAAGGCATTTTTTCCCGTAAAATCTAAAATATAGAAAACATGTTTCAAGGTAAGGGCAAATGGTTTTCTCTCTCCGTGTTAGCCCTGTGTGTTTCAGAAGATGAATGGACAGCTGTTAATGCCACTCACATATTTCTCTACATGTAAGAGAAGATTCTCATTGGGCTGTGTTTGACTCTGTGCGGCACAGTTAGCTTATTTTGTACGAGTCTGTTCCCACATGCCGCCACGCCTTTCAAACAAAAAGAAATATCTTTCTTGCAGAAAATCTGTGATTTGACTGTTTGCTTGGCATACTGCAATGACCGTACTGTCAGCTCCTGTAAAATTCCACCCGTCACTTCACCGACCGCTTTGCTTTCTGCAGTGTGTGTCAAACAGATAAGGGGCTACAGCTCAGCACACCCGAGCTACAGTAAATACTCAACCTAATTTTTTTTATTGGTCATTCGGCTCAGCTGTTATTAATTAAAAAACAAACAAACAAACATTTCGGTGCTCCACTAAAGTCTTACAGAAACCAGACAAACTAATATCTCCAGGACTCAAAATTTGCAAGCCAAGTATGAGTGAAAATAAAGTGGTCTTCTCTTTTCTATTTTCTTTTTTCAGTGCGCTTGGTATGCTTGATTACGTTGTGATGATAACACAACAATTTGAAGTTTTGAATCAAAAGATTGAAAAATTATATATACTGCTTTTGAATATTAGTCTGAACCAGACATTTAACCAAAAATGTTTCAAAGGAATGTGGACAACATGCTCACCGCAAAGAAACTCTTTAGGCTGGGTGGTGGCTCCTAGTGAATGAAGCGACATGTGATGAGTGAAAAACAATGTGACAGTTTGATGTGACAAAGGCTAGACTATGAATAAATCATTGATGGTAATTAATGAACAAATGTGAACTTATTCTATCAGAATACATGATTAATTGACCTTAACAGTGTTTGATTTTCAGAAATTGGTGTCGTCTGCTGATGTCTGATCATTTGTCATGCAATGCTGACTGATCCTACGTCGCCAAATCCTTTTTCTCAATTTATAATCAGACACTTGCTCCATTGATTGACATGCTGTAGTAATTGGATGGCGGGATGAGCATTCCAGTTTACACGGATATTCTCCGGTACTTCCCAATACTTCTCATGCATCATCATCATCATTTCACATGAGCTTGTCTAAGAACGCTGCCATTCTAAAACGTGCCTGATGCTAATGAAGAGATATGATGCTCCTATTCTGATATTTAATGCTGCATGCACAGGTGAGTCTGCCACAGCACGACTTTTCCCTCCCCCCCACTGAACACTTAAGACGTGGGCCGCCAGAGCTTTTAAAGTCGGCTGCAAAAGATAACACCAGATTTTAGGTCACACCAGAAACAGGGCAGAGCCTGCTCTGGGAGGCGATCACTGATTGGACGCCTCGGGTGACACGGCTGATGATGGACAGCACAGCATGCATGATTGAACAGTATTGTCCTTGAAGAATACTTGACCACAGCTTCACTACATCTTAATAAAATAAGACAGTAGCTGGACCATGTCAAAGTGGAGAAGACTTTAGATCCACAATGACAAATAAATTTTGCAACATGAATCACATTAAACAGGTTTTATTAAACTGGACCAAACATGCTTGTTTCCAATTTCTGGACTCGGGTCAGAATAATTCTTTTGATCTCATACTGGGGCCTGGTGGAGCACCTCAATTCATCCACTATCTGAAACAAGCCACTTTAAATTCCTTGCCTCTTCTTTTCAGCAAACATCTTCTGCTAAAGAAGGTGGGTGGAGCTTCCGAGCCCCTTCACTTTTATCAGACAAAGTAGAAAAGAGAGAGGGCCAGGTTGGGGAAAGTCTAGACTTCCATGCAACCCAAACCCAGATAAGCAGCAAATAATGAGCGGATGGATTAAAACTTTTAATATTTTTTTCAAATTTTTATTTCAGGCAGAAATTGTGGTGTAGGCTGTTCTTTTGCCATTGAATTTCCATTTTAATACAATTAAAAGGCTTCATCTGATGCACAGGATCTGAGGATTTGCATTAGTTTTTGATAAAATTCTAAATAAACTCAAATGAAATATTCGAGTAATTTATGAGTATTTTTGGGCACAGTTAAATTACCCTTACTATTAACTAGTGCATGCTTGGTGGTGTCGTGCATACCACATCATGCTTTTTATCCAAAAACTAAAAAAGGCAATTTGGTTCACAATGGCACACAGGTCCCAATGATGCATCGCTGGCATTAGCACTCAGGAGTAGTGGATTTCAGTGGTCAAGTACTCTGCATAACCTTAACTGACCATCGGACCAGTGGAAACTGGTTAAGCTGAATGGATGGCAGCCTTTGCCAATAATATCACTGACTAGAGGCAGTGAGAGGTCAGATGGAGTTACAGGCTGGACAAGAAAGACGATGTTCTGCACTTTTTTAGCACGATGGCATGCATCATCACATCCATCGGCATGTAGGATTAGCCCTGGGATGGAATGGTAGGGTGACAATCAGTTGATTGACTGATGAACCTGTTGACAGGCAGTTCCAGGCCCAGATCGGTGGCTCTTACCACGACGGATATCCGGACCCGTTTGGAAGACCTCCTGATGTCAGGAGACATTAGGCTCTCCATGTTGTTGTTTTTCTTCCGGAGTGACCAGAGACAAGCACACAATGTTAACAACAACCTCAATGTCAATCTGACTTGGCAAAAAGTGCCACTTAAGGCACGGCAAAACTTCCCTGCAATACTGAGAAAAAATACATAAATTGAAGGGTTACTTCTATGAAACAAGCCATTAATGGGGTGATGCGGGAGTGAAGAGCTTTCCTTTAAAGTTCTGCAGGATGCAAGGCTGAGACAAACTGAAAGAGGTTTTATATTGAAGCTGTTTGAGATACTGTGTGTGTGTGTGTGTGTGTGTGTGTGTGTGTGTGTGTGTGTGTGTGTGTGTGTGTGTGTGTGGTACTGTACTGTAGAGCGTGAAGGACTGTATGTGAGAGATAGCATAGGACTATGGGGGTGTACAGAATGTGTGAACAACAGGATGTGAGCCACTGCGTGTGTGTGTGTGTGTGTGTGTGTGTGTGTGTGTGTGTGTGTGTGTGTGTTGGCGCCGTTGTTGTTGGGTGTATTCAAGGACATGACTCTCTCACCTCCAGGGCTTCTGTGTCTGGACTGGAGCAGAAAAGGTTCTTCAGTGCAATACCCGAATGATCATGTGGGCCTGAAACAGAGAGAGGAACCAGGGTTAGGTGCCTTTTAGGTATGCAGCTCATAGCACCTCTCCCATCGAAATGGCATTCCAACATGTGAAAGAAAACAAGTGTGTTGCTCCAGATGTCTTCATTTTCACTTTGCTCCTATACCCTGTGTCTGGTTTGTAATCCTATATTTTAAGTGTTCAATGGACTGGAAGGCTATGTGTGTGAGTACTGTAACCAAACTGCCTATGTAAACTGCTTTGCAACCCTCTTCCACTCATCTGAAACATGATCAGGTTTTTTGCCAAGCTTGTACACGAATGAGGATTTTGTCTTGGTGGCACGGTGCAAAAGGAAAGCGGTATAGAAATATAATATAGAATATATGGTATTTATAGCATATGTAATAAAGACATTTCCTTATAAATAATAATTCAGATACAACAGGAGTATGTACTAACTGCCTACGTGTATTCCTACAGGAATTAATCAATGTCAAGTTTTGTGCAGAAATGGGAACTAGCAGGCATATGCCATCCAGCTTTTAGCCTTAACAAAATCCAACATCTAAAATGAAATCACACCAGCACTGACACAGCACAAAAACAAAGAGTGGACAAAGAGGTACAAAAGCGCCTGTTGTGGCTACTGACTCTTGATATTCTAAGCCAGGTTTGTTAAGACACTGTACAAATCCTGCATTCTGTTAGTTAACTTATCGGTTTTGTCATTTAACAGTGGCCACAAAGCAAAAACCGCCATTTGAAACTGTGAGATAGAAAAATGAGTACACTGTGTTGACACCTTGTGGCGAAGCAGACAAACAGTTAGAGATGAAGACAGCTGCAAGAGCTTATTAATCATGTGAGGACCAGAGACTGAGTGCCGTTATTAGCATTTTGTGAGTTTACAGACAAAGACAGAATCGCTCACGTTTCTTCCAGAGATATAACATTTTTCTATTCTTGATTCTTTTGGATTTCCTGTTTTTTGCGTGTGTTTGTGTACGCAAGTGCAGTTCTTACTGGTGGGAAGCTCGGTGGGTCGCTCCACCACAGAGGGTCTTTTCAGAGCGGGTTTGAGGGGCTTATGAGGTACTGGACGAGTGGGACTGAAGGACGACTCCTCAGTTGAGATCTGTGCGTACACACACACGCACACACACACACACACACGCACGCACACGCACGCACGCACGCACGCACGCACGCACGCACACGCACGCGCACGCACACGCACACACACACACACACAAAGATAAGAAAATGCATTAAAAAGGTCCAATCCTGCTTAAGAGATCAGCATCTCTGTTATTTTTCCACACTCAAAGTGTGAGTGTGGAGAAAGTGACGGACTTCTGCAGGTTTACATAATGGAAGTAAACACATGGGGACACACGAGGGACAAAGAAAGAAAAGAAACCAGCAGGAGCTGAGAACTAAAAGAATGCTTGTGATGGTCTTGTAAAATTTCATGACTTCAATGACTTGCCCTGTTGCCATTTCCATGACCTAAAAATATTTTTATTTGGTAAAAACAATATTGGTTAGTTTTATGAAAAAAGAAAAGGTAGGGTATTTGTATACCCTACTGTAGATGGGAAACTATGTGAACCTGCCTATTTTTAAATACCCTGAATTACCCAGAGTTTCTGGGCAGTAGCATGGCTACATGCTTTTCTACACTGTATATATTATTTTCTTAAATATAAAGGGGACCCATTATGTTCAATTCCCGCTTCATATCTTTAGTCTTCCACAGCCATAGCTTTGCATGACTGATGTTATAGCAAATTTAAAATCATCAATGTAACTATTTGCCTTTACTACAAATACAGGCAGTAACAAAGAATGGTAAGAAGGCACAAAGTCAAAGAAAAGAAGAGACTGAAATGAGCATTGTGCACAAAACACACTCCTTGTTCCTGCTTCCACATCCATGCCTGAGGGCGTTCTGCTCAGCCACTCAGTGCAAACTGATAAAAGATGGGGAAAAGGGAGATAAATCTCAAGTTTAAGCACTGCAGTGCAGTACCTGCAACCAATGTGGACATCTATCTTTTACCTGGCTGCCCATTTCCATTTCTTTCTTTAAAAAAATAAAAATAAAAAACACAGATAACCTCACACATTCATTAAATTCAAGACCTTGCCATACTGATAGAAACCCTTGGAACAAGCACTGGCAATGGAGAGGGGAAAGTAACTCCAATCTAACAGGAAGAAACCTCCAGGCTCAGGGTTTTCCATCAGTTGGGGTGAAGGAAGAGAAAAATAATGAGCAATGAGAAAAATAAACAATAAGCAATAAAAACAAGTGAACAATAAACATGGTCAGGTCAGATCAAAAGATCAAACATGCACAGTGAAGGGTCAGAGACATCTGACAGAGAGGAAGAAGCACAAACTCCACAAGAAGAGATGATACAAAGTTAGTGAAATGCAACGTAGTTACACAGAGGAGACATGCTCAGTGCATCATGGGGAATCTCTCAGCAGCATAACTATGGGAGGGGTCAAAGCCACCTGATCTGACACCTGATATCAAAAAGGAAAATTTTAATATTACAGCTATAACAGGCATGGTCTCTGTCTCCTGAACAGAGTGTGTTATAGAGGCCTGGCAGCTGGGGGCTCTGGCTCACATTGCACATGCAGATAATCTAGTAAGCAGACACTGCAGGTTTGTCTTTTCTCAGACATCAATAACCTACAAGTTCAGGTAGAAGAAATAAAAATGCTGAATTTGTTACTTTCGTTTAAAACCTGTGCTGAGATTCTTTCACAGAGGTGTAGGTGAAAACGCTAGACCTCTGTGATCCAGCAACCTCTCACCTGGAAGCGGACTTCCTGGCTGGTGCGCTGGCTGCCGTTGTCGTCGCTGGCTGGGTCCGACACGATGGATAGGCGTTTCTTCTCCTCGACGGCTCGTTCCCTGATGTACTGCAGCCGCCTGGCACGGCCGAGCTGCTGTGAGAGCAGCGACTGGAGCTGGGCACGCTCGATGGAACCCAGCAGGATCATTGACTCTGGGAGAGGAGGCACAAGAGGAAGAGGGAGAGGTAAGAAGAAGACAAAAAAGAGTGGAGGAGCAAGTTTGCAGAGGCGAGAAAAGTGAAGATAATGTAAACTTGTTTCAGGGACAAAGGGCGAGCTAACTGCAGCCAATTCCAAACGCATGTCGCAGCACTGCAGAGAGCTCAGCTGAGTTACATAACAAAAGCAAAGAATGCAGTGGATGTGTATTAAGTAGTGTGTGTATGTGTGCGAGTGAGTGTGCGTGTGGGTGGCCGCTTACTTGCTTTAAGTAATTGCCTTTGTGACAGTACGTGCTGATTATGTATTTGCTTAAATGCCGAAGCTAATTGTTCCTGCACGACTGCATAATTGAAACAGTGCTCGGAATACCAAATCTGCACTTCAGCGAGGCGGCCGGCGCGATCAGCAGCCTGCACCCAGGCAGGTTTGTCAATCAATCAATTAAACTAATGAGCACATCACCAAGGGCGCTGGAATTTGTTTTTAGTGCGCTTACAGCAACATCAGCAGCAGCATGAAACAATGACATGAATAGCACATCAGACGGGGTGATTAGCACACTGTTCTCACACAGGATTTACTACTGTAATAACTGTTGTGTTTCTTATATCACTTTCACACTGGTGGGTGCTTGGAAGTTTACACTTTTTTTTTCTCTCTCTTTGTTGTAACACATTAAAAAGGGACAGTTTTGGGCACACAGAAGCTGGCAGTCAACAATTAACTGTTGCTATTCACTTTAAATATCTGCTGGAAACGTCACTGGACATTTAGGTTATGTAAAGGACCCAGAATGGGTCATTCTGCATGGGAACTGTAAGGATTGCGCCCTTAAAATCTGAAAATCTGTGAGCAAAACAAACACAGCCTTTCACAAATGTACATTGTTTGGGGTTTTTTTAAGCTATTGAGGTATTTTCTCTGTTTACATTGGGGTTTAGTCAACTTCTGTTGCATTTTGTGCACTTTTGCATCGCCTTTCTATTTACTGGTATTTTCTTAAGTTGCAGTGCATTTGCCCTCTCAGTGCCACTGTAGATGTCACTTAAAAGGACAGTAAAGCATTCTGGTACATAAATGTTGTGTGATGTCTGGGTGAAAAGTGACAATTATGGATAGACATTAATCAAAAAAGTGGTCTTTTGAGGACAGAGGCATACACAACGTATACTGACTGTGACACAGATGAATGTGAGAAATGGTGATTATGTCTCGCCTTGAACACCTCAGTGATCTAGAGGAGGTGGTCTGGGATACAGTTGGGCTTTTCTCTGCTTAGGCAGAAAATGGATGGATTGAAATTTTGTTATTTGTTTTCTTATTTGATTTAAATGAATGCTTAGTACTCTTAAAGTAGGGTCTTTAGTCATGAATAACAACAAATCTTTATATTCTTTTTAAATATCAGGGGACCCATGCATGGCACTTCTCACTGAATGACTCAGACCCTGTTTGCTTTGATGGTAGTCCCTGATCACTGACAACAATGTAGGTGAAAAGAACCTTTTCAGAGCCAGAACATTCATCTTTTATATAGGATGTGTCAAACAGAGAATTATGCAGCTTTGTGCTATGCAGTGGGCATGTCAGAGCTATTTTGCTGACAGCAGCAACCTGCTGCAGCTGGAAACAAGAATGAGAATGGAGTTATGTACAAGACAACAAGTATAATGAGCTAAAGATAATTGAGATTAATACAACCAATTAAAACAGAGTGTTGGGTTATACAACATTTCTCTGTGGGCTTGTAGTCACTCATACTACAGTATGAGTGGCAACATTTCAATTATACACAGTAATCTGGGCCACTGGGAAATATTAGTGCAGTTTCAATGCCCATTTAAGGCCAGTGATTTGCCCAATTTGACCATTGTGGCGGGGCGTGGCCTGCGGTGCCGTGCAGAGGAGGTGGACGCACCTGCACGGCATCCGCAATCACACCCCACCGAATTAAATATTGTACTGGGTCCTGTGGTTGGCGTTGTTGTTGTGATAATGTTGAGCGGGCAGCGGGAGAGCTGCAGCTCTGTGAGTATTGTGGACAGCAACCGTCAAAGCATTAATAAAAAGTATCAAAATGCCACTGGGTCTGCCGTGTATGTTTACAACCATCTTTTGAAAGACTAATTTGATTTGCCAAACGAAACCAGTTTACAGACTGTGCACACTGTATGCTAACAAGCACAGATGTCAGTGGGAGTGGGAGCTGTGTGTTCAGTTTGTGTTGAGCTCAGCCTTCGATTTCATTCGAAATTGAGCAGAAACTCAGAAGTGACAAATAAAGTTTATTCTGTTTTGTTATAACAAAGACTACAGCACAGAGCTGTGTCATAAATATATAAACCAGTGCATTCTGACACATTAAGTTACGCGTTTCAAACTCGATTTTGGCCCATTGGAAATTTGAATCCAGGCCACCTACTAATTTGTGTGCAAAGTGCACACACTTAAAATAAAATAGCCAGACACACCTCGAATGCACCCGCAAGCTAACATAGTCACAAGAAAGGAAAGTAGATGGTGGAAGGCAAACAATCTCAAGAGGTTTTTACTGACTACTGGTTACTGACTTCAGGGTTGTTATTTTTGAACCACACATCAGCAGAGCTATGCAGCCATGCAGTGGCTCTGAAGTCAAAAGAGGGATGCAGTTATGCCAAAAGTGTTCTCAGAAATCTGGAGTGCTGGAGCTCTGACTTTCTTCATATCAGAGAAAGTGGCTAAGAACATCTAGGGGGTAACTTTGCAATCAATCAACAATTAATTTAATTAAAAGTTGTGTTCAGCAGTGGTAAACGTGGGCAGATTTCATCATAAAATGCAACGCAATAACAAGGTTTTACTGATTCAAAGCATTAATGATGCCGACTTTGTAGAAAATGTATGAAATAACATTCAAATGGCACAACGGGGCTAATAGTAACCAATTTTACACATTGGTGATTTTCAATAGGCTCCATATTGACCCCTGGTGGTTCGAAATTTCAGTTTTTAGACAAACCTTTGAAGTTAATTATTAGACATGCACACATTTTTAAAATTTGTCTCTATTTGTGCTGTAGACACAGATAAATACAGTCATGTGGTTTCTTATAGAAAAAATATCTGGACATTGGAAATAAGTGTATGTATTGCAATGAAACCTGTTTGTGTATCAACAAGTGGAATAACGTGAAACTAAACTTCTAAATGTGTTACTCAGACTTTATACTGATCTCTACGATGGTGCACGTGTATTTGTGTGTACCAGCTGATTCCACGAGTGCGAGCGTTTTGAGCTGGCCCGTCAGCAGCACGTTATGCAGGTCTCTGTAGCAGCAGTTGAGTGTGATGTACCGCACGTCGCGTACCATAATGTCCTCAACACGAATATTGTACTTCCTGAAATGAGAAAAGAGGAGAGCCATTTATCAAGTGGTCATAAAGATGAGAAAAAAAAGTGAGAATAAGACAGATGGATGCGAGAATTCATTTTTAATTTTTTTAAACATTCCTCTGAATAGCCCTTTTGTCGCTGACTTGTAAAAATTTTGTGTGACTGTCATGCACTTTTTCCTCTGATGAACTGTCAACTGAAGCTTGATTAGTGCATGGATCTATAAACACTTCCCCCCACATACTGTACGGCTTTGACAGCACATCCTTCTTTCAGCTGACCGGTCAATCCAATAACACCTTACTCTGTCGACACGTCATCCGGATGCTGGTGCTCTGCATACAGTATTGGAAAGTGGGTGACATTTCGCGAGCAGCTCTTGCCTCAGCATAATCGTACGCCCCAGTACACCAGTCAGAAGCACTCGCATTTCTCTCCCTGAGAAAGCCTGAGCCTGCCAAAACCTGCAAACATGACCGCAGTCACTCAGTGGTTTTCGCTGCCAAGCCTCCGCAGCTGTGCCAGGATGCAGGCTCCTTCTGTGGTGACAAGTCAATACATTGACCTCGCTTTAAATACAAAGGTAAATTGATGACCATTGTCTGCCAGCTCCTCTTTAATACACAAAATGCATGAAGTTAGTCCAACATCCCTCTTAGGGAAATGAATGGCAACAACACAGTTCTGCAGAAAGATTTTCTATTGACTCTCTTGAGGTGTTGTATCAAAGCCTAATTCCACTTTACAAACAGTATTCGAGGGTCACTTAACCTACACTGTAAAGAGCAGTATCTCAACCATATTAGACAAGAACATGAAAACAGGAAGGGAGTTCTTCTAGAACCAGTATTTTTTTTAATGCCACTGGACAGAAATCTCGAGGCTGAAAAACTGTCCAATATTACTGTAATTCCAGGAAATGATTGACTCAGTATCTAAATTCAGACAGCGTTGGATTTATTTGTCTAGGTTTTGAGGTATTTACTTCCACTGTACACAATGGAGGTGAACTAAATCTTGTTTGTGTGCCTCACAGCACTGAAAAATGACATTAGTGGCACCAGCTTTCATTTTTCATCGGAAGCACTTTGGAATTTAGTTTCAGAAAAAAATGGTCCCAAAGAAAAATCCTTATAGTGAGGAAAGTAGACTCCTAGAAAGAAATTAATAATTGAAACATAACTTTTTGATTTTATGTACCCTCAGCAGGCATGTGCCTGTTAGATTTATTCCCACCCTTTTACAAAGCTTGCCAAAACCATAACCCTATGGCTATATAACAAGAGGACAATTAGAAAAAAAACATGCAGTTTTGTAATCTAAATGAAAGTAATAGAAGGTCTTTATCTTTGTTATCAATAACTCACCACTTTTAGACATCTTGTAAATCAAACCATGATCAGAGACCATGAAATGTTAATGAAATTCAGCATATTTTGGGCACCACTAAAGATTTTCCTGCTTCTCTACATACCTAATGTTATCATTAAGAGAAAAAAAACCATTGGAAGGAACTGAATCGTTACAGTGCTCTATTAGTCTGCAATGGAAAGCAGAAAATAAAAAAAAATTAAAAAAAGGTGAGCAAAAAGATCCTTTCTGGTGCAATAGCAGCCTCTTTTAATTTGATAGTGGATCTGAGGGAATAATGTAATGCATGCCTCTGAACTGGCCACAACCACTGCCAAGACTAATTTCCCTTGAGATATCAAAGGCAGTTGATGAAATGTGATTGGTTTCTTCTTAATTGGACCTTCCTCCCCTGCAAAGACTGGGCAGGAAGATACTGATCAGTCTGACTTATATCGAAGTGAGCATCAACCTATATGTTTGAGCCAAGAGAAACAAGCTTAGAGGGTTATAAACCCAGGCTTCATAGATCATCCGCATTGCTCAGGGCAGAATGGGGGGAAGGTTTGGCTGTTAGGTTTCTACATGCTTGAGTGAAGAGGGTGCAGACATTCAGGACAAGCGGTGAAAACTAATAACTAAAGGGCTGTAATGATCATCTGCCGGAGCTCCAATTATTGTCAGAAAAATAGAGATAACAGCGGACTATAGACTATTCAATCAATCAGAACTGGCCATTATGAAATGACTAAGAAAAGCAAAGTGACAGAATAAACAAAAGACAAACACATGGAAAGTGATGTTATGTAACAGTCGCCACACTTTCTTTCAAATACCACTCCAGTGTTGAAGAACGGAAGGCACAGGAAAAGGTTTCATATCCGCAGCGGATCATATATAAGATCTTTGTATGTGTGTCCATCTCAACATGTCTGCTTGTATCTGCACTCATATCTGTAAGAGTTGTGCGGGAGCAAAGCATTGAAAAAAAAATCGAATTCTGTCCATGCCTGTGTGGGAGTATGAGCAAATGTACATGCTATCATACGCGTGCACTGCACGGCAGGCATTACACAAGTGTTCCTGGATTTGTGAGTGTGTGTGTGGGTGGATGGTTGCGTGGGTGTGAGATGGATAATTTCCAGTTAGAGTGAAAAACACGTTCTGCTTGGAGCAGGCCACACTACCTACCTACAGTGTCTCACCTACAGGTCCGCCTCCACCTCCACTTGCGTATGCTGCAGACACACGCACACGCACACACACAGGCCTGCTGATGGAAAGTGGTGTGTGAGAGAGAGTAAGGAGAGAGGCACCAAAGAAAATAGAGTAAATGAAGGAGGAGGTAGGTAAGAGCTTTCTGCATAACGAGTCAAGTTCATGGAGGCCTATGTGTTATTGAAGATAGATGATTCCAAGAGTTTGTGTACGTGCTCAGTGTTTACACACAAACAAACACATTATACCTATCATATGGATTCACAATACTGGCAACGTGTTGTTATATACAGAAAATGACAGATGGTTGTGTCATGACTTATTTTCAATATGTCCAGGCTCATATCCACACCCACACCCACACACACACACACACACACACACACACTATGCATGTGTGATTTTAAACATTTGCAAACATAATCATTAAGATCCACACACACAGCCACCTGCCTTATATAGTGTTGGTCCCCCTTATCCTGGTAAAAGAGCCTGTACTGTCGAGGCATAGGCTCCACTAGACCCCTGAAGGTGTGCTGTGCTATGTGCCAACATGTTAGCAACAGATCCTCTAAGCCGTAAGTTGTGAGGTGAAGCCTCTGTGGATCAGACTTGTTTGTCCAGCACATCCCACAGATACTCCTATGGACTGAGATCTGGGGAATTTGGAAGCCAAGTCAACACCTCAAACTCATTGGTATGCTCCTCAAACTGAACAATTTTGCTTTGTGGCAAAAAGCCTTGGGCACACATGACCCTGTCACTGGTTCATCACTGTTCCTTCTTGGACCACTTTTTATAGATACTGACCACTGCAGACTGGAAACATGCCACAAGAGCTGCAGTTTTGGAGATGCTCTGACCCAGCTGTCCAGCCATCACAGTTTGGCCCTTATCGTTATGCCTATTGGTACATGCATAGACAACTTGGATCTTATTTAGGCATTACAGGATTCATACAATATTATTGTAGAAAGTTGCGTTATGTGAATTCATGGGAAAATTCTTTTTAGGCTTCTTGTAATATCACAATGACCACTAGGATATATTGAGATAAAGGCTACCTATGCTTTATGCAGCTCATTTGAACTGCAACAGCTGGCAGTAATGAGGTTAGATGAAAAAGGTGCCACACTGGAAAAATCTTTTAGACAGGCCACTGAAAAAAAAAGGTTTTATTTTTTGACCAAAGTGTTTCCAACGAGAAGATTCAGTTTGTGTGAGAGAAGATTAGCTGGTTTACAAAACTTTACAAATATAAGTGAGAATAATATTCCAACCTACACCGAACAGCAGTGCTAAACAGCCTCCTCAAGCTTTTTCATGTGGCATGTCTTCCCTGCTACAAATAGCATTATATAATCAGAAATAAGAGGAACCTACAAACTAGACAACAACTACTTGGTGAAAACACAGCTCACATTGCAGTTTCTTACTCTCCCCGACATACACATGCATACACGGACAAGACAAGATAGTGAGAGTGTGATTGAGAGGCCTCAAGGTCACAGCAGATAATAAGAAGAGACAGAGGAGGACAGAGCAGATAGAGTGAGAGGGGAATAGATAACGAAGAGATGGACAGCGAGGGTCAACTGAGGTGCTGGCATAGGGCTGTTCGATATAACGATATATATCGGATGACGATATAAAAACGTCTATCTTTTTACTTTCGTGGTGTCACAAAATAAACTGTTTACGGCAATATTTTTTCATCATTTTGATGGTCACTGCAGTGGCTATATTAATTTCTTAAAGTTCTCTCTTTCTCTTATATTTAATATAACCACACTACAGACGGACAAGCAGCTGTTTTTATGCGTTGTCGTTAGCAACAACGACGGTAACAGCATCGCGTGTCCGCTTGTATATGTTCCACGTAAACCTTTCACAATAAAGCTCAAGATCCTGTTGAGACTTTTCAAAATAAACCGAATCACGTGAAAGAGCAGATTATTTACGGATGAGAATTTTAAAAAAAGAGCCGCCAGGTGCTAAAAATAAACCTTAGACTCAAACGTTAGAACAGGCTTTTCCCCGCAGCACGATGTATAATAAATACTCACAAAGAAAACAGCGGCCTTTACAACTTATGTCTAAAAATGTATCGTTTCATGCATCGGTTAAAACACTCGACTCCAGCTACATGACGCGCAGCTGGAAACACTTCCCGCAAGACGAGCTGCCAGAGATTCACAGAATTTACAGAAAATGTTACATTTTTGTGATTTATATCGATAGAATAACGATAGAATTCTTATATTGGGATATGAGATTTTGGTCATATCGCACAGCCCTATGCTGTGAAGTGAAGGACTCAAGCAACACACATAAATGTAACTCTACAGGGAACAGCTTCAGAAAATAATGAACAAGCAGAGGACCAAAGAAAACTTTTCCTCATTGCTTTCAATTTGTGAATGCCGCATCAAAATTAAACTATTATGTTCACCTAATGATTTGGCAGCATCTATAACATCAGTTCCAAACAATTACACCAACAGCGCTTTTATATGGAATCACAGAGCTCTGATGACACCAGGCAGTGGGTAATCCTATTCAGCATTGTGTCTTTGGCATGCATTATTATTAAATGTGAAGTCCATTAAAAGCCATGTACCAAGCCAGGTTCCTCCAGCCACACTTGTATTTTTGTGCAACAGATTTTACTGTAGTGCTATGATTGAGTTTAAACACCCAAATTAAAGGCAACAGTCAAAGCCATTAAAAAACACTGCAGACTAATGCTGAAGCAAGTGTATTCAGTTATTTAGTGAGCAACTAAACACAAATGTATTCATACAGTCAGTATATTTCATACAGTTTAGCCATAGTATGTTAGGCTGATGTAATCAGCAGAATGAAATGTCTCAACGCTTCATTCATAGTTAAACAGCATGCCACATAGGACAAAATTCCCTGCTGAGCCTCCAGTTTGACTCCACACAAGCCACTCTTTGCTACAGTGTCATTATCCTGCTATCTTTATCCACAAATCCTAACTTTATTGCAACATCTAATAAAGGCTGCCCTGCGAAATAACTTCCATGGTTGATCATCAATCACTGAGTGCCACCATAAACTTATCAGCGCCATTAAAGAATCTACAGTTGTGGTTGAAATTTCTCTACAACTAGCAGTTTCCCTTTGCCAGCTTAAAAAGGATTTCTTTGAAAACACTCATTGGACTGACCAATCAGAACAATGCAAAAGTTGAAGTCTCTTTCTCACCTTAGAAAGGTTTCTTGGAGCCACATCTGAGGTTCTGAGATCATCAGTTTTACCAACTGTGTAAATGCAAGCTATTCAGATGTGTCACTACATTGCCTAGGTCTGGAAGAAGACTCACGCTGTCACCCTCAGAGAGGAAATTGTTCAGGAATAACCCAGGAACCACCTAGGCGTAAACCTGCCATGAACTACAAACTGCTGGAACATCTGCATCACTGTCAACCGTGAATCAAGTTTAATATCACCATGGACTAAGAGGGTGCAGACCAAGAAAGAAGGCAATGCTCCAAAATAGACACCTTTACATCTGTTCACATGCACAAGCCAGATGCCTTTTAGAGATTTTTTTTTTTTTTTTTTTTTTTTTTTTTTTTACTTGGCACAAATAGTTACCAGAAATGTAAGGAAAAGGTATGTTTAGAGCAATAAAAAAATGAACACTAACCGTGTAGGAACTATAAAGCATGGTGGTAGTGGTAGCATAACTCTCTGGAGCTGTTTTGCTGTTTTCTCTGGAGCGGTTTTTAGCTGAAAAATTGACACTACTGGGTGTTCCAACAACACAATTTTCCCAAACACATTAAAACTGGTTTTTCGAATCGATAAAAGAGGGTGACATTAAGCTTCCGGCATGAACTCTGCTAATTCTACCAAGAAGAGTAGTCAAATGTCCAGCAAGAATAATGCCACTATATAATAATATGCTGTACATAATGCTGCTAATGCTGCTTTTATGAAAGTTACCTAAAAAGGGACTATATATATCATTTCTCCAACAATGCGGTGGATTCAGACTAACACTCTAATATCTGCAAAAAGTATTTTAACTGCTATCATGCCAACGTGATCATGCCAAAAACTTGAAAGCTAAATGTTAGCATGCTGTCTGTGGACTAATGTCGGTACAGTGAGTCTGACTCTGCCCCAAGGTAGCAAAATCCCTCTCATACAACCTCTGAAGTTTATAAATTCCCATGTTATGATTTGCAATGCTTAACTTCACATAATAATAAGTTACGCTAACAGCATAATAGGGGTGCCTTTATATTTACCAGATAAATATAACAAAGTAATAAATCTTCTAATTCAGCTCCCACCAATTAATGTGTGCATTCTTTTTTGAGATGACATAAAGTTTTATTGGGCCCACTGACAACTTTATCATGCTAACATTTTAAAATCATTTTGTCTGTGGGCTAATAAAATTATAGCTGGCCTCAAGCTGTCCTAGGTACCAAAAATTAGCCTAGTAACACTTCTAATGCTGAGTAATTTTCATGTTGTACTTGTTTAATCTCACACTATGCTAAAGCTGACACACTGGTGGTCATAGTGGTTTTTCATTTACAAGCTATGCTACTGAGCTTTTCAAAATCATTAACAAAATCAATAAATGCATTTCCCAAAACCCTAATTTATTCCTTTCTTTGAAGCATACTGTTAAATTAGATTTCTTAACAATTTGATGCATAGATATTATATGACCTTTAACCTTTTGCACATACTATAAACCTTTACCATTATTTTTTGAATTCTTACTAGCTTTTGGTTTAGTAGTTAACATTCTGCATAATGGTATTTACAAAATTAAAACTTATTTGTAATTTGTCTTGTTGTGTGCTGGTGTTTCTCTAGAATATACATACTCGTGATGACCCCAGCCCAGCTCTGGGAGGTAGGGAAGCTTCTTGATCCTGATGATGGAGTCGTAGAGGGAGGGCTGCAGGGACTGGGCCACGGCATTGGCTAAGATCACTGCTATCATTACCGGCAGGATGTGGGAGATCTGGCCAGTCAGCTCAAACACGATGACTGCAGTAGAAACCGTGTGGGTGACTGCTCCCGACAAGGCTGCAGCACCTTTGGGTTTGGGAGAGGACAGTGGAGTTAGTAGAGGACCAGAGAGAGAAAGTGTAGAAATAATTGGTTAGACGTTTGCTTGTAAGGTGAGATTTGGGGCTTTAGAAAGGGGTCCTTTGGGTGGCATTCAAAGCCCCCCTCCAAAAACAGATGGGTCAATACTAATATGATTTCAAAGAGCAATAAAATACTATCTTACTGTCCCCAAGCATATGACAAAGAGAACTGTTGATTAATGCCAGAGACTCAAGATTCTGACAAGCTGCTAAAATTTCTAACTTACACATTTCGCTTTCTGAGTCTCAGTTCTTCAAAGGTCTTTTGAAGATGTTAAAAGAAAAAAAAAAACTTTTTCTTGCACTTGGTTTCTTTACCATATTGATCCATCATCAGTGACTTCATTACTGTCTGCGTTCCCCCCAAAACTACAGGAAGTAAAATTAGCTAATCCCAAGATGAAAATACATAATCAGAAGTCTTTCAAACGATACAATAGAAAAGCTAACAATGGCGAATTACTTGTTTTGGAACATGATCTGTAACTTTCTTGTGCGAATTAGAGCAGTGCTTTCGGATGTTTTATAACCAACCTTCCAAGACTCTTTACTTCAACTACTACATGTCCATATTACACTATTATTGGTTGTTGCTGTTAGCTGTGATATAACATCTTATAAAAACATGTATAAAAAGTGGTAATTTTAGGCTTTACTTCCCTTGGTACAATCAGAAACTGTTTCTACTGAGCCTATAAAGACCTAAAAACTATACTTGATTTAAATTAGCACGCTATATTTAACCATACACTGCTACGGTCGTTGTTACTACATTTCAATCCAGTTTTGACTTGGCAGTTCTGCTGATTTTTTAGTGGTCATAGCCAGAGAACTGGTTTTTATTACTGTGACAGTAATCTTCGTTTTGAAGTTTTGGTCATTTTAGGAAAAAAAAACCTTTGATATTTGTGCTCGGCAAACTTCAAGGTACATAAGTAAACTTCAAATGTCCACCTCCAAGTGTTTAAATCGATATTCCTACAAAACAGTCCAAATGCAGCAGGTGTACAAGATGTGCTCTAGCACTACACATGAATCCAAGCTTGACAGGGGAATTGAATGAACTGAAATCATTAACAGCATTTAAACAAAATTCTAATAATTTTAGCTTAGTGTTGTAGCGTGCACAGTGGGATAGATTATTTACATTGTCTACAAGAAGCTGTACATTGTATAGAACACATTTCTAATCTAATCTACAAAATCAAACTTCAGATTTGGAAGTTAATTCACTCGAAGAGTCTTAAACAACAAAACAACAGAGCACTTTGCTCTCACACTGCAGGCTTACTTGTTGTTCCTCTAGTATTTAAAAGTAGAATGGGAGGGAGAGCCTTCAGTTTTCAGGCATCTCTTCTGTGGAACCAGTTTCCAGTTTGGATTCAGGAGACAGACACTATCTCTACTTTTAAGATTAGGCTTAAAACTTTGCTTTTTGCTAAAGTATATAGTTTGGATCTGGTGACCCTGAATCCTTCCTTAGTTATGCTACAATAGGTGTACGCTGCTGGGGGATTCCCATGATGCATTGAGTATTTCTTTTTCAGTCAACTTTCTCACTCACTATTTGTTAATAGACCTCTTTCCACTGAATCATACATCTCTGGCTCCACGACCCCAACTGGTCGTGGCAGATGGCCCTGCCCCTCCCTGAGCCTGGTTCTGCCGGAGGTTTCTTCCTGTTAAAAGGGAGTTTTTCCTTCCCACTGTCGCCAAAGTGCTTGCTCATAGGGGGTCAAATGATTGTCGGGTTTTCCTCTGTATGTATTATTGTAGGGTCTACCTTACAATATAAAGCACCTTGAGGAAACTGTTGATGTGATTTGGCGCTATATAAATAAAAATGAATATAATTGAACACTATCTCATCCATACTGACTCAGTTCAAGCAACTAAATACACATTTATCCCCCCCACAGCCTTCTCCCCTATGTCCATAAAGCAAAAATCAACTATTTTGAATAATTCAATATAAAAGGAAACGCTACATTTGCAAATCTATTTAAAAAAATAAATACAGAGTAGTTAAAAGAGGAATACTCTAGCCACATCAAAGCAGAAAGAGCAGCATGGGCAAAGTGAGTGTTTATCCTAACAGAGAAAATGGATGAGACCAATCCAAAGAATGAGATGAACACCAGGGAGGAAAATACCAGAGAATGAAAGCATTAAAATAAAAAGAGAAACAGATGGTGAGTAAGAGAGTCTACAAAGACAGGTTTCATTGTTCTTTCTCCTAACTTAATTAAGCCCATGTATGCCCCTCAGATAAATGCTGCTGCTCCCTCTGCCCATCCCAACACTTATTCCTTAAAGCAAGCTCCGCTGCGAGATGAAAGAGGCTCATCAGAGTGTCAGGTCTGTAAAGGGGTGACTCATCAGCTATAGTGCAGCACAACAACAACAACATCAGCCCCAGAAAAACAGCCACCGCCAACCCATAACACTGGCATAATCAGCACGGCTGTCAACAAGTAGCAACTGTAGCAACGCTGCACCTCATTAGACACACAACTTCAGGAAGAATCTATAATGTATGTAGTGCAACCATTTCTTTAAAGAAATACTGGGTACAGCTTCACTATCCAGTGTATACAATCATTACCCTTTGCTGGTTATTATCACTTATTTTACTATTCGTCTGTGTATCCAGACAAATAAATCATCTAGACTGATACATCAGACATTAGCTTGTCGCAGTGTTTGTGGCTTCTGATGAGTAACAACAAACAGAAGTAAAGATATGCCATAGGGAAGTTCTGAGTCATTAAACATAATGTCTCTATTACATGGTTTGTTCACCAGAGAGTAAAGATCTCAGTATTGTTTGTTTAAGGTACATTTGTTTAATAAACCATACAGGAAAACTAAAAAAAAACAGAAGAAAATAAATATTTTGACATTATTAATAAGTTAAAATAATCATTTGCATTAACTAGCTTATTATTATCACTGTCCAGAGGGGGTATTTTTTGGGCGTTAAATGCGTAATTATTGGTAGTAAACTAGTAGTAGGAAATTATGGCTGTTGATTAAAATTTTCCCACATATTCTAACAAACTTGTTGTCTATCACATTACTTTTACAATTCAGTTGCTCTCCTTGTGTTTAACTTCCCTTGATATTTGAATAACAAAGCTGTGACACTGAGTGCAGTGCATTGTTGATTTAATGACTGTATTAGTACAAACAGGGGTGTGCAGTGTGTGTAAAAGTTGATGAGCAACAGCTGTCATATTTACCATTAGCTTTCTATTTATCCTTGTTTAATTGGAACTAATAAAAATTGTAATAAAATTATCGAGTTTCTGGCAGGTTTAAAAATTAAGTAAATACAACCTATAAAAAAAAAAGTACAAATACAACCTGAGATGAACACTAACCTTATATTACACATTGTTTAGTACAGTTCATGGTTCGGGAGCTTGTAGAACAACCTGTAGCAGCAATAACTACTTCTTTGCATGGCTATTAGTCTGTCATATTATTTCTTTGCGGGCATTCATGTATGCACAGCTCTCTTAAGGTCCCCAAACAGCCTTTTAATCAGGTTAAGGTCTCAGCTTTGACTCTGTCCAGTGGATGCCCAATCCAGTTTGAAACAAGTCTTAGCTGTCGAACACATAGCCTCACATTTTTCTCAAAACAAAGACTATGGTGTACAGGAGTTTATGGTCAGCTCAATAACAGCCTAGCATTTGTCTAATAAATTATAACATGGGATAATGTGTCATGTTTGGTAGTTCATTTCTCAGAAATCTATACAGACAGACTTAAAATGCAGAGAAACAATACAGTTTCTTATCAATATATTCTTTTAACACTTAAATTATGTTCACTTTTTGTGAACACTTTTTGTATTCATATATATATTCTTCAAGTACATTATTCAGTCAACACAAAACAAAAATATGCCTTTGCCAAGCAACAAAACAATGTCTGCTTCTTAACAGGACTCCTGGATTGCACATTAGCTTGGATATTCAACACCACTGTGAAGAAATTTGTTGTTTTTTTTCAGCTGGTGTCTAAACTGTTTTGCAGGAGGTTTCTTTGTCGTGACTGGTCTGGGGATCTTATAAATATAATTTGATTTTGTCTGGAGCACTTGAGTCTGTTCATATTCCATGTCACCTTTAATCAGGGTCAACTTAAAGCCTTAACTTGGAGCTGAAAAACTGAGCAATTCTGCTACAGGAAATATTTCTGTGCATTCACTTTTATTTCTCTTGCCATCAAAGATGAAAGCCCTTCACAGAAAGCCAAGAAGAAAAATGTGTATATAGGTTTATAATGCAAAGGCTGAATCACAGAGGAATTGTAGAAGCAAACGTCTTTTATTGCAGCAAAAATATGTAGATTAGGATGGAGAGTGAGAGACAGCTGAAATGGTGTGTGTCTTTAACTTACCCACAACAGCATAGCCTCCTGGCACTATGGGGTAGATGGTACCATCTGTGTTAATGCCATCAGGGAACCAGGCAGCCATGCTTTCTCCAACCAGACGACCAAAGGCTGCCCCTGAATTACACAGGGAAACAGAGACACACAATCATTGAGACCATTTCGCAAGTGCAATATTGGTGGTGGCCCAGTAGATGCTGTAACGCCAACCACTAAAACATAAATCCTTAGGTCAAAAAGTACAAACGTCTTGGGTATGCTAAAAAGTTTTATAGTGAAAGTTTAATAACTGTATTTGATTATGATTTTCTCGCTGTTTCCAAATATGAGCAATACACCACTGCTTTGGTTCTCGTGTGAACGACAGCATCAAGCACTCCTTATTTGAAAAACCTTTCTCTAAATGGAAATGAACCAATTAAAAAAACGAAAACTGTAACGTTGGTATTAAGCCACACCAGGGTATTTAAAAATGATTGATTTTTTTCCCCAACCGTTTTGAAAATACTGTACATGTGCCTTTCTTGTGTACTGTACTTTAGGGGTGGTGAACAAGAAAGCTGGTTGCCTGACTCTGTGTTAGCACTGCAACAGGCTGGTGACCAGTCCGGCGCGTACCCTGCCTCCCACCCTATGACAGTTGGGTTAAGGCTCTACCACCACCCTGAATTGGATGTGGTGTTCCTGGTCAAGTGTCAGGAGGATATAAAGTTATGAGGTCAAAAGACATCACCTAATCCTATGTACCATATGCCTACAGCGACAATTGCCTCCTCTCTCCTCAACTGACAGCTGGATATTTGAAATGATTGTTATAGTTGCATCTTTTGTTTGGACAGGAAAGCAGGGTAGCAATTAGACTTAAAATAGCAGATTCAATGGCAGCAGTTCCAGTGACAGTCTAGAATGCTAATTAGATTGGTCTCATAAGTTTCACTTCCTGCTTAAATAAAGATACTAATAATGCCAAATAAATTCCCAAATTAAATACAATAACATTATTTGTATTTAATTAGTGGCAAACATATATAGTAATTTATAGTACATGACTGACTTTCAAAGGATTTATTTTTGTTTGATTTTTTTGGTAAATACAGTGGGGCAAAAAAGTATTTAGTCAGCCACCGATTGTGCAAGTTCCCCCACTTAAAATGATGACAGAGGTCAGTAATTTGCACCAGAGGTACACTTCAACTGTGAGAGACAGAATGTGAAAAAAAAAATCCATGAATTCACATGGTAGGATTTGTAAAGAATTTATTCGTAAATCAGGGTGGAAAATAAGTATTTGGTCACCTCAAACAAGGAAAATCTCTGGCTCTCACAGACCTGTAACGTCTTCTGTAAGAAGCTTTTCTGTCCCCCACTCGTTACCTGTATGAATGGCACCTGTTTGAACTCATCATCTGTATAAAAGACACCTGTCCACAGCCTCAAACAGTCAGACTCCAAACTCCGCCGTGGCCAAGACCAAAGAGCTTTCGAAGGACACCAGGAAAAGTATTGTAGACCTGCACCAGACTGGGAAGAGTGAATCTACAATAGGCAAGCAGCTTGGTGTGAAAAAATCAACTGTGTGAGCAATCATCAGAAAATGGAAGACATACAAGACCACTGATAATCTCCCTCGATCTGGGGCTCCACGCAAGATCTCATCCCGTGGGGTCAAAATGATCATGAGAACGGTGAGCAAAGATCCCAGAACCACACGGGGGGACCTGGTGAATGACCTGCAGAGAGCTGGGACCAAAGTAACAAAGGTCACCATCAGTAACATACTACAACGGCAGGGAATCAAATCCCGCAGTGCCAGACGTGTTCCGCTGCTGAAGCCAGTGCATGTCCAGGCCCGTCTGAAGTTTGCCAGAGAGCACATGGATGATACAGCAGAGGATTGGGAGAATGTCATGTGGTCAGATGAAACCAAAGTAGAACTTTTTGGTATAAACTCAATTCGTCGTGTTTGGAGGAAGAAGAATACCGAGTTGCATCCCAAGAACACCATACCTACTGTGACGCATGGGGGTGGAAACATCATGCTATGGGGCTGTTTTTCTGCCAAGGGGACAGGACGACTGATCCGTGTTAAGGACAGAATGAATGGGGCCATGTATCGTGAGATTTTGAGCCAAAACCTCCTTCCATCAGTGAGAACTTTGAAGATGAAACGAGGCTGGGTCTTCCAACATGACAATGATCCAAAACACAGCGCCCGGGCAACAAAGGAGTGGCTCCGTAAGAAGCATTTGAAAGTCCTGGAGTGGCCTAGCCAGTCTCCAGACCTCAACCCCATAGAAAATCTGTGGCGGGAGTTGAAAGTCCGTGTTGCTCGGCGACAGCCCCAAAACATCACTGCTCTCGAGAAGATCTGCATGGAGGAATGGGCCAAAATACCAGCTACTGTGTGTGCAAACCTGGTAAAGACCTATAGTAAACGTTTGACCTCTGTTATTGCCAACAAAGGTTATGTTACAAAGTATTGAGTTGTATTTTTGTTATTAACCAAATACTTATTTTCCACCCTGATTTACGAATAAATTCTTTACAAATCCTACCATGTGAATTCATGGATTTTTTTTTCACATTCTGTCTCTCACAGTTGAAGTGTACCTCTGGTGCCAATTACTGACCTCTGTCATCATTTTAGGTGGGGGAATTTGCACAATCGGTGGCTGACTAAATACTTTTTTGCCCCACTGTATGTTAAATTACACAAACGTAATCCTGTAGAGTAGGGTTAAACCTAGGGTTGGGTTTCTTCTGTCCCTTTACACACACAAACACATGTAGTCATTTACTTCTTACCAATGACAAATACTGGCATGAAGGCTCCGGAGGGCACTGGGATAGTGATGGCCAAGGCAGACATCCAGAACTAAGAGGGGAAAATAGAAGCAGATAAAGAAAGAAAAGACATGAAAAGAAAGAACAGGGTGGCATTTCAATTAGCTTCAGAGTACCATCCGGTGTGCCCCTCGATGATAGCAAAGCTGAACCCTCTACCAGCAGTGAGGAGGCGACCATGCGAGGCTTATTGCTGAGGTTAGATTGAGCTGTCACTTTCACTCTCCATTTGACAAAGACCCTGAAATAAACCCCTGGGTAATGAGCGGACTCTGCCGATTGGCGGACGGTGCACCAGACGAGCGAAGAGACTGCTAATTAGGAAAGAAACAAAAACGGAAATGTCATCACTGACAATGTGTGAGCATTATCGTCAGGTCTGTGTGTGTGTGTGTGTGTGTGTGTGTGTGCAAATGTATAAGTGTAGCAAGATGTAGGAAGATGGTTGAACAGAGATGAGTTTTAAAAGGCTGTCATACTCACTTATGGAAATAAAAGTCTGCACTGATACCTGGGACATCGTTAAAACGATGATCCACGCTTACTTGACTGGACTCAATGTTAGATTAAAAAGTCTTATTAAAATTCCATTTATACTCCACACTACCAGCATAGTATTTATCGGTTCTTCAGTAAAAACTGTCTGATCACTCTTTCCATCCTTGACACTTGAGGTAGTTAAGACTGACTAAGTCAACCTTCAAAGTTAACTCTAACTCAGTTTATTTGTAGAACAAAGTGTATTTTTGAACCTTTTCAATGTCTTAATAAAGAAATCCTCACTGAGTCAAATCCTTACTTGTTCCCACAGTCGCCAGTTCACACATGAAGGCCATTTGGATCACTTCTGTACTGAAGACCGGTAATCCAAGGTGCATTGAATCATGAGCACCAACATGCTGCACTCTACTCACAACACACACCAAAAGCATCTTCCAAACATTCAGTCTGTTAAGGCTACAAAACAATCACATCTCTCTGACTTGCCCTCAGTGCCAACAGGATTGCTGTGAATCATACACTGGGGAAACCAAACAACTGTTGGTTAAGCGCAAAACAGAAGAGCTACCTCGTCGGGCCACAACTCTGCTGTCTACACCTCCGGCCCCGACTCTTGACTCTCAACAATGATGATGTGCACATTCTGGCCAGGAAGCAATGCTGATTTGGGAAATCAAAGAGGCCCAGAAAAGGAACAACCATCATATTTGAAAAGAGATACTCTAGACACCAAACTGACTGCTTATGTAAGAAATTAATGATCTCGAACATGAGTTTTCTAGGAAATGTGAGAGTCTGAATGTGAGGCTGAAATATTGCTTGTACAACACTAAATGCTGGTTGAGGTTGTTTCATTTTCCTTTCAGACAGAAACAGGAGTTTAACAGAGAGTACAAGACACATGTACGAGCTTGTTTCAGCTGAACTGTGTAACGAAAGTTGGGAAGTGCCTTAGAATCAGGTTCCCAGTGAATGAGGGGTAAAAATGTTTCAGTGCGAGTCTCCCAAGGTCTTGATTATCCAATCCATTAACCTCCTAGGACCTGGCGTCCACATATGTGGACATCACATTTTGGGTTATTTAGACTAAAATACTCAATTTTGCTCTACATGGGACTGATATCCACTTACAAGGACATTATACTGCTACTGTTCTAACAAAATTTTAAACGAATATCCTCATATGTGGCTCTTATTTTTCTTAAAAACAAAAATAAGGTTAAAAAAAAAATCTGGTAATTCTTTGTTTTTACATTCATCGGGCCCCAATATGCCCAAATATCAAAGAGAAATTAAAAATGAATGTCGTGGAAGAGTCTGGGTCTTAGGAGGTTAAGGTACTAACGAAAAGAAAAGGAAAGAGGATTTGGAGCTAAAGTGCTTTAATAGCCCTTGAATTGAGTAATAAACTAATCGACTGTAAGTAAATCAATTAGTGAGTATTTTAAAAGTTCACATTTTTGAGTAAGTTAAAGCTAAAATGTCAAAACCTTTTCCCCAAATTCTGTAATCATTTATTCTGTAATTTGTTAAACTACAGGTAGGCTTGTGCATATGTTTCCATGTCATTTTGAAAAATCAAAGCAAAATACTCTACTATAAATAACAAATTCAAAAAACTATGTCCATTTAAATACAAATATTAACATACGATGTAAAGTTGGGTATACAACATTTTATGGTTGAGACTGTATGTGGTGGAAACAGTTGGGAACAGTTTTTACTTGCTGTTCCCAACCAAGTAACAGGTCTCTACAAAGGGTCACACAGTTGGACTAATATCATCTTTACTGATTTTGTTTCCTTGATCTTGACCTGAGATTGTGAATTTGAACAATTGAACAATTGAATTTGAACAATTTTAATTGTTTAAGTAGCATCTGCACAGATAGCATGCTAACTCAAAGCTAGCCAAGAGCAGAGTGATGTTAAAGCTGAGTACATGAAGACCCCAGCCCAGCAGCCAGAGCCTGAACTTCAACAAGAAACAAAGGCAGTGATGAGCAGCTAGACTGCAGCCTCCGTTTCTACCTGTTCATGTTTCTAAAGTAGACTCACTGGGGTAATTAACTTTGAAGTCTGTTTAGGCTCATTGTCATATAATATCCACGTTTACTGCTACACAGATGACACCCAGCTCTATTTATCTTCCAAACCCACAGCTACTCTCCCACCCACATCCATTTCTGACTGTTTAAGTGAAATCAAGGTTTGGTTTACTCATAACTTTCTCAAACTTTATGGTAATAAAACAGAACTTTAGTCAGTTTTGATTTGGTGCCTATTAGAATAAATTCTAACCAAAGTCTTTCATTATCCATTGATAACGCTGTTGTCACCCCTTCCCCTGAGGATAAGAGTCTTGGTATCATCTTCGACAGCACTCTTTCCTTCACAACATATATAAATAATATCACTCGGTCTTCTTATTTTCATCTTCGTAATATTAACCGCCTTCATCCTTCACTCTCTCCAAACAGTACTGCCATATTTGTACTGCTTTTGTCACATCTAGTTTAGACTACTGCAATTCTCTTCTCTATGGTCTACCTCATAAGCCTCCCCATAAACTGCAGTTAGTTCAAAATACAGCTGCTCATATTATATGAAAAATTTGATCTTCTGAACATATAACACCTGTTCTAACACAGCTTCATTGGCTTCCAGTTCACCTCCAAGTCAATTTCAAGATCTTGCTTCTTACTTAAGAGCACTTAAAAACCTTGCGCCTCCATATTTACCTGACCTTCTTCACATGTACTCACCCCTACGTACACTCCCCTTTTCTTCAGCTTCCCTTCTGTCTGTTCCAACTGCTCACCTGACTACAATGGGACTGACTACCAAAACTTTGGAATGCACTTCCACCAGATCTCCGCACTATTAACTCGGTTTTTAAATCACATCTTAAAACCTATGTATTCAGAATTGCATACCCTTCATCGCTTTTCTGTCTTAGTCCATTTTTTATTTCGTTTAGCTTTTATACTGTCATACTTGTACATACATACTTTTTATTTTTGTTTACCTTTTTTTTTTAAAATTTTGTTGTAATAATGTAAGGTGACCTTGAGGGTCTTTAACCTCCTAGGACCTGGCGTCCACATATGTGGATTTCACATTTTGGGTTATTTAGACCAAAATACTCAATTTTGCTCTACATGGGCGTGATATCCACTTACGAGGACATTATACTGCTACTGTTCTATCAAAATTCTAAACGAATATCCTAATATGTGGATAAAAATAAGGTAAAAAAAAAAAAAATCTGGTAATTCTTTGTTTTTACATTCATTGGGCCCCAATATGCCCAAATATCAAAGAGAAATTTAAAATGCATGTCGTGGAAGAGTTCGGGTCTTAGGAGGTTAAATGTGCCAATAAATAAAATATATTATAATTATTTTTGATTTGTGTTAATACATAAAAACTGAAAGATCCCATCTGTGTCCTCATTAGGACAGAGATTTGTGCTGGTGTGTGGGACTCTAACCTCAAGGCTATATTGTTAACTGGTGAGAAGTTTGAGATGTATTTCTCTTTAGCTAGAAACACAAATTTTCTGTTCCTTTTTCCATTACTCTCACCAAATTAGAAACGGATCCTGTTTCAGTAATAAAAAGCTTTTAATATAAAGATGCAGCATGAAAGGGTCAGGCACCATAAAGCGACTTAATAGATATGCACTTAAATGAAAATAGGTCTAGACTGGCTCTCTGAGCTAAAAATTAGCCATCAGTTAGAAGTGTGAGTAGAAATAGAGATTATAAGAGACAATGTTTATGTTCAAAGTATCCTGAATAGAAATCTTTAGGACAACTCAGTTACGGCAAAGATAGTGGTTATTACACCAATTTAACAGCTGTAACAAAAAACATGGCAAACAACATTCAAATTTAGGGTCATTTTAGCCTGCTGATCAGAAAAAAAAAGAATCAGTCTAAAATGGATCAATAGTGCAATTAGAGATTATTTTACATGATGTTACCTTTAAATAGGCCAGTACTATTAATTGGCACGTATTCTTCGGCACAGAGCGGGTAATGTATTGAGCACAGGCTTATATTTTCAGTGTTTGCATGCACAGAATGAGATACATGAATCAGTGTATTGTACAAGCCATTACACAAACCTCATCACTATAATAATCTCATGGTTTCAAATAGACTTTTTAATTACACTCATTGCTCCGTCGCTCTCTCTCCCTTTTCTGCTCCCTCTGCTCCAACTATAGTTAGCTGTAATTAAGGCTGGCTGCCATGGTGACGTAATGGATCTCCTTCTGTGACCCTAAACTGCCGCCGCTTTCGCACCCCGTACAAACACACATATGTGCGTAGGTGTTCACACACACTATAACACGGACTCAGCGAAGAGAATCAGGCTAAAACACAGTCACACACGGTTACAAAATACAAAATAGGCCTCATGGGAAAATGAAGACAGCAGTGTGAAATAATCTTTAGACTTGCCTTCCTCTCTCATTCTTTCTCTTCCACCTAGACAGTAAAACTAGAATAAGAGTTGGGA